AGGATGTCCGAACGCAACGTTCGGACCAGGAGGATGTAGCGCCAGGAAGTTGCTGGAAATTAGAACGCTTCAAGGAAGATGTAGCACATGGGATGCCAGAGCTTTAATCTTGGCGCTAATGAATGCATTGGCGCTCAGTCTGCCTCCTTGAACAAATTTTTTACAAGGCTCATTTACCTGATATTATTTTCTTGGGGAGTTCAGCGAACTAACGGCCGACGAGCTGATGCTATAAACAGATCGGATGTCTTAAATCTTATAAAAAAAGATTTGCCATACAATTTTTCAACTTTGTACTGTCTCTTCGTCCACCACTGGTCGTGATTTTCTTTATAAGAATAATTATTTACCTACACCACAAGATAAAGACACCACAAGTATTATTTTAATCTATTCACCCCGTGAATTATTCATTATTTTAATCTATTCATTTACTTGTAAAGACACCACAAGTATTAAAGAGCTTATATAACAATAAAAGCTTGACTTTTATTCTCAATTAGAAGTTATCGTGCTTCATGAATAGCTTGCGCCAAAGCTTCTAATCCTTTGTGCAAATTGAACATCATTGCAGTTAAATTGAAAATGTAACAATTTTACTTTTGATTCCAAATAAAAATTATAAATTATAATAAAAAGTAAAGAACATTTTTGATACAAGTACTTGAATTCTTAATCGTTTTATTTACAAAACACAAATACGATCCAAGCATTTCCTATCAAGATGGAGTTGTCCTAAGAATATTGCTGAGTAACTTTGGTCCTTCATATTGAAATTCATAGGCGATTTCCGCCGTTAAATTTTCGACCTTGCATCATTTTTCGCAATCCTTTCATTGCAATACCCTTATTAAAATTCATTTTTCATGGCCATACCCGTATTAAAATTACTCAATATACATAAGTATCAAGTAATTTATCTCTAATTACTTCTGAACTTACACTTATACTCGTCCACTTTGTGTCAAAAGTATCAAGTTGCTAGAAATTTTTTCAGTCGTTGAAGGATAATGTCATCTGTATTCTACGTTACTGTAGTTGAGAGCAGTGCTTAATGAACCGCAGTTCACATTTCCCCCATGTTCTGACATTGATTTATGAACTTGGCGGCGCATAGAGGGCCTAGTGTTCGAATCCTTGTGTCGGCAGAGAAATATAATCTAGGCAGCTTCGGCAGGCTGCACTCGACAAAATGAGTGAGCCTTTGTCCAAATATCGCTGAATTTTTGTCGCGTGTGTGAGTCATCCTGACTCATATTAGCCTTGTGAAAGAGCGTGTCAGTGCTGTGTCTTGTGGGTAAGAAAGTGTGTCAATATTTTGACAAAAAGATTCTTACATTTTGTGAGCGTTTGTTCGATTCACGTCTTGCTTTTCATAGTAGCCTTCTGGTCTCGTCTGCATCGAGGATAACATTGGAACTTATTCACTCTAATTAAACATGCAAAAAGCTTAATTACCAGATACCGTTCCAGGTAACTGATCACCTTCTTTTGGCTGCTCCAACACTAAGATTTCCGTCCTTATGTTTGCTACTGCGATCGCTTGTCCTATAAAGGAAATACTCGCATAATCTTCACTAATGTGTTGATTTTATATCTATATATTTCATTTATTGGCACATATCCAGCTCTAGATTTCCTTTGTCTCATTGCTACTCTTATTTGAAACACCAATGGGAACACCTCATTGTAAACACCAAGTATCAATGATTACTTTAAACGCTAATTCATGAAAAATTTTTAAAGCAAAGAATTTTTTGCATGGGAATTCCCCCAAAATTCACCATATTTTCACGGAAAACGTTTGCTATAAAGATATGGCGAATTTTTGTGAAATTTGTTTGCTTCTAAATTTCTAGGAAGCACCAAAATGAAATGCCAATATTTTTCTTGAGAGCGTTTAATTATGATAATGGATGCCATCTTTTTCCTACCTTCTACAGTTTTTTATTATCAGTGTGTCAAATGTGATGGCAAGCATCATGAGATTCTGGAACTCGGTGATTTTCAGTGTTTTCATCTCACAAGTTTCGTTTCGGTATCATAATTAATTTTTATTAATATTTCCCGCTCAATTTGATCTAATCAACAAGACTTCGATAAGATGGGTCGAATCATTTAAGTCTTTATTATTTAATTATTTTCTAACACACTAAGTAAACTATTGGAATAGCGTTAGAATTACTCGTTCGTGTAGGTGTCCCTCGATGAAACAAAAACCCAGCTACCTGAACGAATAATGGTTTTGTAACGGTTTTCGGCATTAATTTTTATAAATCAATTTATGCACAATTTTTTTTTCATCGTCAGAGGTATTCATTTATTTGAAATCTACTTGTATTGTTTATTGAAAACTCCTACTCGTATTATTCACATTATATGTACGGCAGGGCCTATACTTCCAAAAAAAGTTAAGAGATCGTAAGTTCATCAGCCAATCATTGACGGCCTTTCAAGCCAAATCCACCAATCATAGACAAGAAAATAGAGCGTAAGTACTTACGTTCACTTAGCGAGTTTTGAAGGTATGGCCCCTGCTATTATCGTGTATGAGAACGTGTGTGTACATCAAGTTGTTCATTGAATGTAATGCATGATTTTAATTATGCTCAGTTATATCTCTTATCACTCGTATTTCACTGAACTTTTAATCTAAAAGTTCCTTGCGGCAAATATTGCAAATATGACATGTTAATATTATATTGCTGTGCATTAATAAAAATATATAACTCAGTACTCACTGCAGTGAGTGACAGAGAGCGCATTTTCCCGTCTACGAAAACGTGAAATCACGAACGGTCAGACAGACGGACGGACGGACAGACATGGCTAGCACAATAATGCATTCCTTCCATAACTGAGAAAATGCGCTAAAAATGAGGAACTTGGTCCTTAATAGCCATGCACTTTCTGTCCTTAATTATTTATTTGTGCGGGTCACTCTGACTCAGTTTGGCCAGGGCTTATCAGTGCTACGTCCGCTCTCTGCGCGCACTGCGTAGGTAAGAAAGTGAGTCACTATTTGCACAATAAGACTCTTTTTTTTACTGAGTGTGTCATTGTTCGAGCTTTGCCGTCTTTTGCGTTCAGCGCAACTCTTATGCTCACTGAAGAAGATAATCCGCTTAAGTTTCTAGTGCAAATTGAACTCGAGTTACGTGAACACTTTTGTTTCGTTGGGTTTAATTCCCCGAGGTGAATTTTAGTGACATCCAAGTTCAACCCTATGCAAAAAAATGAATTCTCGCTCACTGAAGATACGTTGAAAACGATTTCCAGCTGTCTCCTATCATGATTATCTTGTTTTGTTTATTGTTATCTGTATTATTTATGTATATATTTATCTTTTAATTATTATTCTAGTAATAATAATTGCTACTTTTCCGCTATTCTACTGAGAAAGATTCCCACTAAATGAATTCTGCAAAGATATATTCTGGAAATGAATTGTACTCGAGGCTCATCTGTAATACATATAATATCTCAAACTGCTCATATTTTTTGCATTGAGTATTTCTTGATATATCTTCGCTTTTTTAAGCGCGCGTTGAAGGAAATTCTATATTATCTCATTTAAGAATTGGCTGACCTGATCTTATTGGCTGACCTGATCTTATTGGCTGACCTGATCTGATTGGCTGACCTGCAGTCCTCATATGTTTTGCTCAAGTCAATGCGATGAGCTCATGACAGCTTAACCTGTATTATAAAAATAATTACGGATATGACATCTCCGACTTTAAATCGAATTGATGACCAATAATTGAAATCATTAAGCAATGTGGCTTTGATTCAGGTGACTTTCTCCCTGATGATGTAAACACGATAAAAAGTTATTACGATTTTTTTGTTCTCGAGCAAAACCGTTGACGTATTGTCGCTTCTTCCACGAGGGAGGTAGCGTTCGAAACTGCTTTTCAAAAACACATTAATCTGTCTGTCGTTCTGCCCAAGCGGTCCCATATCGCCCAATAATTCATGTCGTATTGTGTTTTTTTTGCGCCGCACTCGTATTTTCTTTATATCTGTGCTGATATGAAGTTCTGTGGAGTTATGCTTTATCTCCTGCAATGGCGCATAAGAGATGCCGGCGAATATTTCTTCCGTAATTACTTTCGTACGGTACATTTTACTGGGAGTAATTCTCTAGTTTTCAAAGTGCTAGCTGTACAATTTATTTATTTTCTCATAGACGTGAAATTTTTGCTTGCTGCAAAATATCTATATTTAATATAATTTTGAATCTATCTAGAAGTCCAGAAATGTTGGTGTACCCAAAACGCTTTTTCATTTTGTTTTGTGGAAGTTTGAAGGCAAATGGGCGCCGCACAAGCAGTGCGCTGAAAGTTTTATCACAAGAAAACCGTTGAACTTAGAACAGAAACTCATTTGTGCAGTTTTTAAGCTTTTTTTCTGTGGGTAAGGAAGATGCAGTTGCCGGGTACATTGCAGAGCTTTCTTCTCAACTGGATTTGTGATGGCCTTTGGTAACCGGAACGCTTATCGAGGCGGCGTTTTGTAGCCATTACGTCATTGAAATGCCATGCACCATTATATATATTGATCGCTTCTGTGATATTGGCTATTAATATTTTAGCATTTCATCAGGCTTTGAGTTTGCCGTGAACATCTCTGAGTATTTTAGTTATTTGAATTTCTTTATTTTCCTCATTTTTCAGGCGCACGGGAATTCTCACGTAATGACCAAATGGTTTGAAACGGTTATAAATTGCATTTTAAAAACGACAATTCTGTCATCTTAGATTAGATATTGATTGACAATTCGATCGTATCTTGGTATTTTTCAAACATCAATAAATAATTCTTTAAACCTATATACGCCTGTTGATTTTTATTGGATTACCATAATTTTTTAATTTGTTATGATGTCTTAGTTATTGTTTAAACATCAATAAATAAATCTTGAGATTTATGTTTTGAATTTTTTATTGGATTGATATAATTTTTTAATTTATTATTGTTTTCTTGTTATATTTCAGAGCAACATCATCCGGGTACAGCGGAGAGCTCGGGTCTACCGTCGTGTCGCGGGTCATCACAGTGGGCCAAGGGTTCGGAGTGGAGTTCTTGCTGACGTTCGTGGTGGTGCTCACGTATTTCTCAGCCATGTGTCCACACCGGGCACCCGGCGCCTCTAGCCACGCCCCTGTCATTATAGGGCTTGCATACCTCGCTGCAACCCTCGTCGGGGTGAGTAGTGCAGCCCTCGTCGGGGTGAGTAGTGCAACCCTCGTCGGGGTGAGTAGTGCAACCCTCGTCGGGGTGTCATCCAGCCCTCGTCGGGGTGACTCGTACAGCCCTTGTCAGGGTGACTCGAACAGCCCTTTAATACAAATATTTGAAACTTTCTTTGCTCTACAGTTAAAAACTACTATTCATATAGTTCTTTCGTTACACCATAAACCTGTTTGTGTATGGTATTTTGTTTTGTCATTTTGTGCTGTCGCTCCTCCGTATCCGACAGAGGAATGAATTCCTCAACATCTAATCCTAAATGTAATAAAAATAATAAGATAAATATTATTCTTTTGTTCGTAATCATTGAAAAACTAAAGTTTCGTTTCATCTAGATTAATATCATTTTACTGAAAATTTCCATCAATCTGACAGAAATATTTTTCGTTTATAATTACTAAAAAAAAACAAGGGAACGTTTTAGCTTAAATAATACCGGTATGGATTACTGAGAACTGGACATGTTCCTATACCAGTTTAAATATTATTCGTTTATAATATATAAAAACATATGAGAACGTTTTAGCTAAATAAAGATAGATTACTTATTACTACGCATCTATGCCAGCTTAAATATTATTCCTTTATAATGAATACAAACATGGGAACGTTTAGGTGAATTATGATAGATTTACTTAGTACTAGGCCTGTATGCCAGCTTAAATATTATTCGTTTATAATAAATAAAAACATACAAAACCGTTTTTAGCGCATTTTCTCGTTTATGAAAAAAATGCACTATTGTGCTCGCCATGTCCGTCTGTCCGTCCGTCTGTTCGTCCGTGACTTCATGTTTTCGTCGACGAGAAAATGCGATCTCTGTCACTCACTGCAGGGAGTACTGAGTTATATTTTTTCCTCTATGCTGATTATGTTGGTTATGTTGGTGTCCCCCCACAGCTGCCTCTGACCGGGGCCTCCATGAACCCCGCGCGGTCGCTGGGGCCCGCCTTCGTCATGAACTCCTGGCAGGGTCACTGGGTACGTGCACGGCATCAGCTGATGTAAGAGGTTGCTTTTCTGGTGCACCTCTTATATGTATAATAATTATATGAAAGACCTGAGGTTAGTTCGGGTTTATTATGTGATCAGAGGATAAATGAGGCACAGAGTACTTGTTTATGGAGTAACACAGCTTACAGTTTGTGGGATTACAGATAGAAGTGTGAGTTTAACACATTTGTCTATGCTCACGACTCGAAGGGGAATGAGTCGAATAACCTATACTCGGCAGTAAGAACCTATACCATGTCATCATTTTATTTATTATATGCTTCGCCATTTTTGATGTTGATTGATATCATCATTTCGTTGTCAATTTTGATCTTTAAGATATTACGCTGATCATTTAATTTATTAATTTTAATCTTTAAGATATTTTGTTTTACCTTCTTTGATGTTGATTGATATCATTTCATTTGGTAATTTTAATCTTTAAGATATTGTGCTTCTCTCTTTTTGATGTTGATTTATGTTAAAATCTGATTTGTTGATTTTAATCTTCAAGATATTATGCATCACGTTTTTTTATGTTGATTGATTTCATTATTATTTCACTTGTTGATTTCAGTCTTTAAGACATAATGCTTCGCATTTTTCGATGTTTCTCTGATTTATTATAATCAAATTACACATCATTTAGTTATCTTTTGGACATCAAATCAGACCTCATTTGGAAGATATTTTCGTCGTTTCTTAATCATCAAATTAAACCTAACTCAGATTCCTCACAATCCATCATACATTTTATCAAATTGAGTTAAACTCATCTAGTTTTCTTAACAACCACACAATAGTATATGAAGAAAAAATTTGTTTAATTAATCACGTCATCCGCATTAAAATAATCAGTTGTAATGAAAGGGTGACAATTTCGTTATTTATTTTAATAATTTTTAATTTACAATTCAACTGATTCATTAACAATCACAATCGTTAATTTGAAGTTCACACTCATTTGTCAAAAATTCATTCACAACCATTAGACGTCTAACGGACATTCACAATCACTAGACGTCTAACGGACATTCACAATCACTAGACGTCTAACGGACATTCACAATCACTAGACGTCTAACGGACATTCACAATCACTAGACGTCTAACGGACATTCACAATCACTAGACGTCTAACGGACATTCACAATCACTAGACGTCTAACGGACATTCACAATCACTAGACGTCTAACGGACATTCACAATCACTAGACGTCTAACGGACATTCACAATCACTAGACGTCTAACGGACATTCACAATCACTAGACGTCTAACGGACATTCACAATCACTAGACGTCTAACGGACATTCACAATCACTAGACGTCTAACGGACATTCACAATCACTAGACGTCTAACGGACATTCACAATCACTAGACGTCTAACGGACATTCNTAAGTACTTACGCTCTATTTTCTTGTCTATGATTGGTGGATTTTGCTTGCGTGGCCGTCAATGATTGGCTGATGGACTTACGATCTCTTAACTTTCATTGACGGCCACGCAAGCAAAATCCACCAATCATAGACAGGAAAATAGAGCGTAAGTACTTACGTTCACTTAGCGAGTTTTGAAAGTATGGGCCCCATGTAACCTCTTATTTATGTTTTTTATCGATTTATATTTGTTCTAATTTCCTCGTTGCCAAATTTTTAAAGCTCATTGCTGCGCTGGTTCTTTTATCGTGTGTTTTTAATTCTCGATGTTTATAAATTTAAATTTCTTCGTTGCCAAAGTTTTTATGCTTAACAAGGCGTATGTTAGATTACCACGAAAAAAAAGATGACTCGCTCAACTAAGTCAATAACGTCTAAATTCGCAATAATAGACTATAGTTTATTTCAATGTTCGATGTGTTCTTGGTAGAGTTGTATATTTGTTCCTTAGTGTAATTAGTGTTTATGATGTTTTATGCATTTAAGTAAAGACATTATTCTCATTAGATTTTTAGCCCACTACTCCTATTTTCTAGAATACTTTCTATGACCTCCATTTTATCTCTCGTCCCATTCGTTGCATTCAAGAAAATACATTTTTTAGCGCATTTTCTCATTTATGGAAAAAATGAACTATTGTGCTCGCCATGTCCGTCTGTCTGTCTGTCCGTCCGTCCGTCTATCCGTCCGTCCGTGACCTCAAGTTTTCGTCGACGAGAAAATGCGCTTTCTGTCACTCACTGCAGTGAGTACAGAGTTATATTTTTTTAACCTTCACGCAAGTTCGCATTCATAACTTAATGTAGTAATCAATATATATCCTATGTTTCATAAATAATATAATGTGCTGATTTCGGCCAAACGTAATAAATGTTCAGCTTTTCTAATCATAAAGCTGAGCAGTTCTTATATGATTGTGAGGATTGCTTGTTTGATAGCTGCAAATCGCATAATTTTTTTTGCATGTTAGACAAACTTTATATAATCACTTATAACCATGCTGATGACTCGTCACTCCTACATATCACAATTATTTCCTGCAAGTTCGTTCATGTACATAATATGTTCGTTTAGTCTGTCGGATATAGATTTTTGTGTTAATTCCTGATTTCTGTGCAACTCATCCTCCTCCTGCTATTTATTCAAAGCTAATTAATAATCTTGCTTATAATAATGTAATAATGTTTTGTTTATAACAAAATTGCGCTTGTCCTCGTTTCAGTCTGATCGTTGTGATGCCCTGAAATAAAAGGTTGAGTTATTATTTAACCGAAATTAGGCTTCGTATATTCTTGTATACATATCAATTATCAAGACGGTTTTCATATTCGAAGGATTTTTTGACGATTTAAAACGTGATGTTGCGATTATTTTGTGCTAAATATTCATGAACCCAGATCTTTTAATTTGCGTGCGTAGTGTGATGAAGGTTGATGTGGTACAGATGAGGCAGATATTTTTATTCCCGTGCGTAGTGTGATGGCGGTTTGATGTGGTACAGATGAGGCAGATATTTTTATTCCCGTGCGTAGTGTGATGGCGGTTTGATGTGGTACAGATGAGGCAGATATTTTTATTCCCGTGCGTAGTGTGATGGCGGTTTGATGTGGTACAGATGAGGCAGATATTTTTATTCCCGTGCGTAGTGTGATGGCGGTTTGATGTGGTACAGATGAGGCAGATATTTTTATTCCCGTGCGTAGTGTGATGGCGGTTTGATGTGGTACAGATGAGGCAGATATTTTTATTCCCGTGCGTAGTGTGATGGCGGTTTGATGTGGTACAGATGAGGCAGATATTTTTATTCCCGTGCGTAGTGTGATGGCGGTTTGATGTGGTACAGATGAGGCAGATATTTTTATTCCCGTGCGTAGTGTGATGGCGGTTTGATGTGGTACAGATGAGGCAGATATTTTTATTCCCGTGCGTAGTGTGATGGCGGTTTGATGTGGTACAGATGAGGCAGATATTTTTATTCCCGTGCGTAGTGTGATGGCGGTTTGATGTGGTACAGATGAGGCAGATATTTTTATTCCCGTGCGTAGTGTGATGGCGGTTTGATGTGGTACAGATGAGGCAGATATTTTTATTCCCGTGCGTAGTGTGATGGCGGTTTGATGTGGTACAGATGAGGCAGATATTTTTATTCCCGTGCGTAGTGTGATGGCGGTTTGATGTGGTACAGATGAGGCAGATATTTTTATTCCCGTGCGTAGTGTGATGGCGGTTTGATGTGGTACAGATGAGGCAGATATTTTTATTCCCGTGCGTAGTGTGATGGCGGTTTGATGTGGTACAGATGAGGCAGATATTTTTATTCCCGTGCGTAGTGTGATGGCGGTTTGATGTGGTACAGATGAGGCAGATATTTTTATTCCCGTGCGTAGTGTGATGGCGGTTTGATGTGGTACAGATGAGGCAGATATTTTTATTCCCGTGCGTAGTGTGATGGCGGTTTGATGTGGTACAGATGAGGCAGATATTTTTATTCCCGTGCGTAGTGTGATGGCGGTTTGATGTGGTACAGATGAGGCAGATATTTTTATTCCCGTGCGTAGTGTGATGGCGGTTTGATGTGGTACAGATGAGGCAGATATTTTTATTCCCGTGCGTAGTGTGATGGCGGTTTGATGTGGTACAGATGAGGCAGATATTTTTATTCCCGTGCGTAGTGTGATGGCGGTTTGATGTGGTACAGATGAGGCAGATATTTTTATTCCCGTGCGTAGTGTGATGGCGGTTTGATGTGGTACAGATGAGGCAGATATTTTTATTCCCGTGCGTAGTGCTGTCTCTTATACACATCTAGATGTGTATAAGAGACCAGCCCTTGTCAGGGTGACTCGTACAGCCCTTGTCAGGGTGACTCGTACAGCCCTTGTCAGGGTGACTCGTACAGCCCTTGTCAGGGTGACTCGAGCAGCCCTTTTAAAAATATTTGAAACTTTTTTTAATCTACCGTTAAAATTATTAATATTCATATAGTTCTTTCGTTATAGCATAGACCTATTTGTGTAAAGTATTTTGTTACGTTATTTTATGCCGTCGCTCCCCGTATCCGACAGAGGAATGAATTTCTCAACATTTCATCCTAAATGGTAATAAAAATACCGAATAGGTTTATTATTATTCTTTTGTTTGTAAGCTCTGAAAAACTGAAGGTACGTTTTATCTAGATTAATACTAATTTACTGAAAATTGTCATCTATCTAGCAGAAATATTATTCGTTTATAATTATTAAAAACATGGGAACGTTTCAGCTTAATTAATAATTTAATATGGATTACTGAGAACTAGGCATGTATGCCAGCCTAAATATTATTCGTTTATAATTATTAAAAACATGGGAACGTTTCAGCTTAATTAATAATTTAATATGGATTACTGAGAACTAGGCATGTATGCCAGCCTAAATATTATTCGTTTATAATTATTAAAAACATGGGAACGTTTCAGCTTAATTAATAATTTAATATGGATTACTGAGAACTAGGCATGTATGCCAGCCTAAATATTATTCGTTTATAATAAATAAAAACGTTGAAACGTTTTAGCTAAATAAAGATAGATTACTTATAACTACGCATCTATGCCAGGTTAAATATTATTCCTTTATATAATGAATAAAAACATGGGTACGTATATGTGAATTATGATAGATTGCTTAGTACTAGGCATGTATGCCAGCTTAAATATTATTCCTTTATAATGAATAAAAACATGGGAACGTATATGGGAATTAAGATAGATTGCTTAGGTAGTACTATGGCATGTATGCCAGCTAAATATTATTCATTTATAATAAATAAAAACATACCAGACCGTTTTTAGCGCATTTCCTCATTTATAAAAAAATGCACTATTGTGCTCGCCATGTCCGTCTGCCCGTCCGTAACCTCATGTTTTCGTCGACGAGAAAATGCGCTCTCTGTCACTCACTGCAGGGAGTACTGAGTTATATTTTTTCCTCTGTACTCGTTATGTTGGTGTCTCCGCAGCTGCCCCTGACCGGGGCCTCCATGAACCCCGCGCGGTCGCTGGGTCCTGCCTTCGTCATGAACTCCTGGCAGGGTCACTGGGTACGTGCAGGGCATCAGCTGATTCATGTCATCATCTGATTTGTTGATTTTAATCTTTAAGATATTATGCTTCTACTTTTTTGATGTTGATTGATATCATCATATGAGTTGTTAATTTTAATCTTTAGGATATTAAGCTTCCATTTTTTTGATGTTGATTGATATCATCATTTCGTTGTCAATTTTGATCTTTAAGATATTACGCTCATCATTTGATTTATTAATTTTAATCTTTAAGATATTATGTTTTACCTTCTTTAATGCTGATTGATATCATCATATGAGTTGTTAATTTTAATCTTTAGGATATTTTGCTTCACCTTTTTTGATGTTGATTGATATCATCATTTCATTGTTAATTTAAATAAGATATTTTGCTTCACCTTTTTTTATTTTGATTGATATCATCATTTCATTTGATGATTTCAATTTTTAATATATTATGCTTGACATTTTTCGACGTTTCCCTGATTTATTAGAATCAAATTACTCTTTTGAGCATCAAATTAAGCTCATTCCNTAACTATCTTTCAACAAAATCAACTCGTAATGAAAGTTCTTCCGACGTCAGTTTCCTGGAGGTGCGGTCCACGTTGAGATTGATGTCGGTTTACATGTTCCGCTAGGTTAACATCTTGTCTGATGACGGTAACTCGTTACCAGACCTTCAGGTGGTAGCTTTGATAGTTATTTTGTCCGTACATGAATGATGAAATAATATTTGTTATAATGTGTAATTTTAGGTTACTAAGAGTTACTACTGGATAAAGAGCTCGGATTAAAGTGTCAATAGCTCAGGAGATAAAGTAAAAAGCTATGACGTGAGGAGTCGGATTAAAGAAACTGTATACTTTATTAATAAAATTTATGAATAGTGTTATTAATATTGCAAATAACTAGGAACCAGGCAGCTGCTATCAGAGGCCATGCTGGTGTCGGTCCACATACGACTTTTTAATCAGGTTTATGTACACCTACGCGTGTACTACATAGTATTTGCCTAGTAGTACTATACTATATAGTATAGTACTACTAGGCAAACTACTATATATACTATAGTATAGTACTACTAGGTTATAGGATAACCTTCAGAGGTTATCCTGAGGATTTTCGAGCTCTATAACCGTTAATTTTGCCTGAGTAAATTCTGTCTTTCATATTGATCTTATCTTTGTCATGTTTTGATGATGCGATTTGGCTGCTGAATATCAGGTTTCACGCCTTCGTCATCTGTAAATTCTCCTACGAAGCTTCAGAGAAAAAACAACGACGCAACTACCACACACTTGCAGCAAGTACCAACACAACAACAACTACAACAACAACAAAACTTACTGCCGTCAAGTGGCCAAGTATTGGGCGCTGCCTTCAGTTCTCAACACCAACCTATACCAAGATCTCCATTTCAACAACAGTATTTTCATCCGCAACGGCAATTTCTTCAAAAATCTCAAGGAGTTTCTGCCCACCAGCCATCAGAACACTTGCCACTGGCTATTTTGGACCACAATCACCAGTATTTACAACACCAATTCAATCACAACAACCATCCCGCTGAGCAGCAGAGTCGGTGTACGGACGTCTGGCCNTTTATTCCCGTGCGTAGTGTGATGGCGGTTTGATGTGGTACAGATGAGGCAGATATTTTTATTCCCGTGCGTAGTGTGATGGCGGTTTGATGTGGTACAGATGAGGCAGATATTTTTATTCCCGTGCGTAGTGTGATGGCGGTTTGATGTGGTACAGATGAGGCAGATATTTTTATTCCCGTGCGTAGTGTGATGGCGGTTTGATGTGGTACAGATGAGGCAGATATTTTTATTCCCGTGCGTAGTGTGATGGAGGTTTGATGTGGTACAGATGAGGGCCGCGTGGGCAGTGCGGGTGTGGGGCGGCGTGATGACGCTGAGGAGGCGACCGCAACGATGTCGTCCTCAGGCCAGTACAACGCTCTCCGCCGCACCGCCGCTCACCCGCGCCACAACACAGCCGGCAACCTCAACGGCGATGAGCTTTATACCACGGGTGAGTGTTTAATGTTGGTGTATAATATTGGTGTATATGTTAATAACTGATTTATACATATAATATGGTGTATATGTTACTAACTGATTTATTAATATAGTAGCTCTGCTGCCGTCTCTGCACCGATATCATTTTAGCGACACGAGAAACTGCATGTTTTTACCACGACTGTCTTGTAAGTTCTCCTTACAACGTTGCATTGCACAGACTCTCTGGACTAATATCTCCTTAATGTTGGTGTATAAGTTAACATCTGCTTTATTTGTTACATGGAAATTTTCAAAACAATCACTGTAATTTATTCTTTAGGTTCGGCTGCGACAATGAGCGCAAAGTGCACAATCGGTTATATTTTTCCTTAGCGCTTACTTGATTAGCGTGAAATGTGGCCGGTAAGATGTTTTATTCTTTAGTTTAGTCAAAATCGATGTGAACTTTTATCCATTGCAGGATGAAATAAATTAGTGTTTCATGGAATAAATTAATGTCATTCTTCCTATAATGAAGGTGTTCTGGCGCGCGCCTATGCTCGTCAGAAGTTCTATGGGATTTCACATTCGTATAGAGGCAGAATGCCTGAGCGGTCCTTACGCTACCTTACTATGAGTCTCATTTGTGGTGCTAAGTTGTTAGGTAAGTAGGATCCTTTGCATTTCTCTTCTCTTTTTTGCGCATTTTCTCATTCGTGGAAAAAATGTGCTATTGTGCTCTCCATGTCCGTCCGTCCGTCTGTCCGTCCGTGACTTCACGTTTTCGTCGACGAGAAAACGCGCTGTCACTCACTTCAGCGAGTAGTACTGAGTTATATTTTTTGTCGTACGGTTGACCGATGTCACGTGTAAATGAACTCCTATTTACTGTTCGTTTGTATCACTTTAGTATCCCCGAGACGCTAACCTCTCATCGTGGTAAGCGTTTCGGACGTAGTAGTCCCAGGCCACGCTGGAGTGCCGTGTTAAAACACTAACGCTGCTTCTTTGTTGCATGCATCAACGGTCATAAAAAACCTTCCGCACTTTGTGGCTGATGAGCGATTGTCGATGCATGAAATTTGCGATTATTACGAGACCTCACACCTCGTTGGTGTTGTTTATTCCTGACTTAAGATGCGACATCGTTTGATATCTACCGCGCTAGTAAACCTCGTTGCCACTAAACTAGTGTCATTCCTAGCTAATAATATAGATTCTGGGAAACTCAAACTTTTATTGTATTTTCACTTTCTTTGCACTCTATTTTCTGTCATCGCCAGTTGAAAGAAAATTTTCGTATACTTTGAATATTTATCGGAAAAGATGTCCCGAACTATTCGAAAGCTCTTGAATGTTTAGTTCAACTGAATTCTCGATTGTTTAGGTGAATCAACTTCCGGCACTCATTGAAAGTTAGATTATATGAAAAACTTGTCATTATTACGTAGGTATTTGCGTGTATTATGTATTTTGGAATTTGAAGTATTTAGTGCACAGCGTTAAAATTATCTTGTCACAGGTAAACTATTTTCCTAGGAACAATTTCATAAATGAAACCATAAACTTATAAAGATAACACCAAGTCGTCATCCATTGTTTATTGAAACAAATTCTATTTAAATGAGGTATGAATGAAACTAATGTCATTTGTATCCAACAAGGAAGGAGCAATGTTTTCAAACCAGTCAACTGGGATCGTCTTGTCAGGAAATGGAATAAACAATGCCCAGGTTTTGTATCACTGTTTTTAAGCTTTAAGTTCCTTCCTGGAGAGCGACGGTTTCCTTTAGGACTTACATACGAAATTCCTTTACATTTTCTTCGGGATTCTTAGTCTGTGTTGCTTTCAATAAATACTTAATGTTATCTGGCAGCATTATTTCGGCTTGCTCGTCCCGTGGGCCGCCCTTGACGTGATTGTTTTCTGTTGTCGACCTCAGCGCTGGTCCCGCAGGAGGTGTTATTCTTGCCGCAGTTCCTTGAGAGTCCTTCGCTCTTTCTCTTGCCGCTGTTCGTTTGAAAACCTGTGTTTTTTTCTTGTAGTAGTACCTATAAATTAAATTTATGTACTTAAAATTATAAATTGATGATAACACGAATGTATAAATTGTAATGGAAGTATTGTTTGCTCACCAGAAAGCGTGTATGGGTACGACGACTACATCTACAGCGGCAGCAAGAGCCTCTACACGCCCGCCTCGAGGCCCACTAACTTGCACCGATCACAGTCCGTCTGCACGCGTCCTCTGCCCAACCCCGACCCTCCTAGCCTTCCTCCTGTCCAAAAAAGTCTCCTGCACAACAATCTTATGGTGTACAACGCTCAGCAGCTCGAGCATCAAAAGCTGCAGCAGCAATTCGCACAGCAACAGCAGCACGCGAACAACATTAACAAGCCGACTTCCACTGCTGCTTCAATGTCGCATTACTCTAAAAATATTCGGAATGTGTCGTCTCCTTCAGAGTTCGAATTTTCGACTGCGTCCACCGTTACTACACGCAGTGCTCCTATAAAGTCGAACCTGATCAAGCCTGAACCCATTTATAAGGGCCAGCAGAGTGAGTCATCATACAATGCGCGTCATGAACCAATATATAAAGTTCAGGAGCCGATTGTCAACAACCAGAATAACCAGAAACTTATCAGCCAACAGGAATACCATCACCAACAGCAAATTCAACAACAACAGGTGCAACAACAGCATCAATACTACCCCAACACCAGCAACGGACCTAACTTGATGTACCAAAATGCGCCCGTAGCGCGCAGCAGAAATGTGAACGTCCCTGAGCGCTGTGGCAGCGTAACGAGCTCGCGAGACGCTGCCTCTAATGGCGTCAAGTATCATCCTGGCGAGGATGACGATGCTAGTCAATATGGCGACAGGAATCTCAATTATCGGCTCTTTGAAGGAAACAGACCACAAATTCCCACTCCTGATAGTTTCAATAATTCTGAACGCTCTTCTCAGCCGTGTCAGCCATTCAGACCTGCTAACGGGAAACTCTACTAAAAGGGAAATAACTCGGTTAGCTCCTCTGCATTTCATTTGAAGTATTTCGATAGGTGCCACTCCCCGAAACGCTGTTTTATTATTTGTTTCGCGTGGAAGACAGCGATAGGTCAAGGGTTACCAAGTGCCAAAGCCTGTATAGTATGGAGTTTTTTCGTCGAATGATATTCATGACAAAAAATATGTAGGTTTTGTTTGTAGCCACTCCAATATCTGAGTTCCTTCAAATCTGCACTGCAATATCCGTCAAGGAGTATCTTTTTTATAATGTTTATGAATCGAACGAGTTAGGGCAGAATCTATGTACGTACAATTATATATGATGGTACTAAGGGCAAAGCATGTGGATGTTGTGACGGCATGTTAAAGTTGAGCTCGATGATGAGCGCATTGCTCATTGCCAAAAAATTTGATTGTTCGGAAGCTTTTTTTACGAAAAATTGGTTTCTGGATAATTGAGATGTTTCTTGTTGGTTGTTTCGGCCAGTGCAACGAGCAGTGAGACTGATTTGTAACATGCGTACTATTAAGTATATACATGCGTACTATTAAGTACGGTTGGCTTGCAATGCTTTTCATAATACTTAGGATGTATACTGGATGACAGAACGGAGAAGCATGGAGCCATATCAGTGTGTGGAATTATTTGTGTGATCGAAGTGTAAAAATGTCACTATAAACGTTTAAGGCGCCTTGGTATTTCATATTCTCAGAAGTCCACATTACAGAATTCGCGACCATTTCTTAGTCGAATCTTCGGAAAAAAAAATGTTTTGCTCTGTAGAAATAGTTGTGGTCGTGTTGCTGCGTGGTCGCTATAAACTAAAATTTCTGCAGTAGTAAAATTATCCGTTTCAAACAATCGCAAGATGTTTATTTCCAATCGCAATAAGTCCTCACATTTCCGCCTGTGAACCATAAATTATGACCAGATTCAAAAGCTAGATCGTGTAATCAAGAACTCATTTCATGGGTGTCAGCTCGCGAAATCTTAGTCATTTTCGGGAGGTGGGGTGCCACAAACTCGTGGACGTTGTTCAATTTGATTTCGACTCGCGCTACGGGTTTTCTGGTGTCACTTCTTCACTGGGAACCCGAAATGCGCTTTGTGACCTATTTCAGGTCGTCATTTCCGGAATGTTTCTCAGTTAGTACATTTGAGATCATGAACTGTACTTGGTGGGACATTTTGGTGAATCAATCGACTAACACATTTAGCCAAATACTTTGAAGGAACCGCCTGTATATTCTTCTCAAATGTGAGGTCTGTTTAAATGGTAATTCGAGAAGACACGGGAATAGGTTGTCGGCTTGAAACCTGATCAAGTGCTAGAACAGTCTTTTCGATCCTGCGACTAGTTAGTCGTTGATATCTTGTCAATCTTCATGAATATTTTGATTATTAACTTAACTTTCTCGTTTCACTTCATTCTTCAGTTATAAATTAAAAAGCATCGTAATATTTAAGTCATTGCTGTGCACATTGAATTATTCCATGGAATTTAGGGCGAACGGAATTTTTTGTGTAAATTTCTTGTAGGCCGGAATGCACAAAAATAATGTATTTATAGTGCGAGATCTGTAAATAGAAGCACAAAAATGATGAATGATCCGTGCAAGATCTGTAAATAGAATTATTTCTTACTATATATGATCTTTTTGATGTGAATATTTGCGAGTACAAGTTGCGATAATTCTATTCACTTTTCAATATTAAATGGATGGAACTGACTCGCACTATTCCCTTCACCATCATTCTACTTCATAGAAATGAGGAGGTTGCAATCATAATATGACAACTGTTATATTCTATTTTCAATTATATGACGACTGTCATATAATCATTAAGTACTGCCATCCACCGGACCGACGAACCTTGGACTGAAGCAAGTCGAAGCGTCTCACACCGAAAAGATCGCCGTTTTAGAAATGCAAAATAAAATACAATTGTAATTCAGACAAGTGAGTTCAGGTGCGGCTGAATATTTACAAATTTTTTTGGGCAAATAAACTCGTTAAATTTTCGTACAGATTTAATTAGTGACATAAGTTTCTAATCTTACAGTACAACTAGTTTTAACTACAACGTAATAATTGTACGTTTTATTTTACACTAAAAGTTCATTTTAAATTACCAAAACGAAGGGGCGTTCATCGTTCAATTCAAATTGAATAAATGCACAGAGAGCAAGCTAATTTTAATGAACGCATCTAATAAATCGAGCTTAACTATTTCCATTGACATTAGTTCTAGCTGAACTAGGGCGTCAAATGCCCTTTAACTCCTCGAGCACGCGAACACAACTTCAATGAAAGTGCAATTGAAATTAATTTCACTACACAACTGTCAACACGGCACTCACCAGACGCCATGAAATAAACGTTAATCATCGTACTGTTAAACTCGGACATCAGTAAACATACTCCCTAAATATTTAATAGCAGTGGGTCTTACCTCGACTTCGTCATTGACATATCAAGGAGGACATTATAACGCTCGCTATTGCCGGGCGTGTTTTCTTCATCCTAAGACGGCTGTGCTTTGAACAAAAATAAGAAGCCTTATTCGATAGAGAAATAGTTAATAAAAATAAACTTGTATACAGCCTTCCCCTAGCACGCTGCTACGTCCATCATTATAACGATACAAGCAACGACATGTTTTACCCCCGACTGGCTGTAAGCTCCCCTTTCAACGTTGCATTGCACAGACACTCTGCACGGCGTGCACTTGAAAATTTCATTTAGTAGCGACTTCTCTTAGATGAGGATTCATAAGGAGATGAGCCTTGTTGGCCAACATCGTAACCTTGCCCAGAGGCAGTAGGCGCTCGCTCGTAGCCACCACCCGCACTGCCGGCTGTAGATCGGCCATAACCTCCGCTCGATGATGCGCCTCCTGCAGCTGACGACCTTCCGTACCCTGCACTGCCAGCAGCAGCGGCGGTAGAAGACCGGGAATATCCGCCCGCACTGGCAGCGTAGCTATCAGCGACATCCCCAATAGAATTTGCACCTGGGCCGCCAGTGGAAGCAGCAGCACCAGTTGGCATGTCATAACCAGCCGCAGCTGGACCGCCAGCAGCAGCAACAGCGGCCGATGGCGGTAACTGGGCTTGATTTCCGGTTTTCTGAGAAGCTGTTTCGTAAGGACTGCCAGCAGAAGCAGATTCGTAACCATAGCCTTGGTTGGTAGCATCATACCGCCCTCCACTGCGAGCCTCATAACCTTGCGTCCGAGCATCATAGTTGGCACCACGACCGTCATATCCTTGGCTGCGACCATCGTAGCCGGCGGGTCTGGCATCGTAGCCGGTCTGGCCGCGCCCGTAACCTGCAGCACGGTCGTCAGGACGATCGTAACCCCCTCGCTGCTGGGGATAATAGTCGTCGTATTGGCGCGACGTCTCGTACGGCGAGCGATGGTCGACAGGGGCGTCGTAGTAATCCTGAGGGCGCTTGCCGTACCCACTGCCGAATTCATCGGTCGACAACTGCCAGTTTAAAACACGAAATTATTAAGTGCAAAACATAGACCAAAAGTCATATCAATTCGTTAAGGAAAGTGAATGGAAAAAGATCTTCCGTCGATAACAACCTGTTAAGAATCAAAATAAATCCACTCAATAAATCCATTTTATCCACTCACTTCAACCGAATCGACGGTAACTTGAAATGAATTATATTCCATGACAATCAAGCCACAACGTCCGTCGATAAGTAACTTAAGAATAAAGCAAATAGCCTAAGTAGAACATTGCTGGACAAAGCAAAATAATTGGTAGCTGCATACCTGAGATGGACGATTGCTATCTCTGAAGTTCCCCAAGCCCATCTGCAGCTGGAGGGCTTCTTGTTCACGCTGAGCAAGCTCTGAAATCACAGTTAAGTTACTCCCCGTATAAATATTTAGTGGCAAGAATACAAAATTACAACCTATCCGGATTGAACTGAACAACAAAATTAAGGATGAATATTGTAGGTAGCTACACATGTGCGTATATAATGCACTCCTTTCATTCCCAAGACGAGGACAGTATAATAGCAATAAAATGTGATGAATTATCACCGAGGTTTATAGACAGCTTAGCAGTGACAATTTTATGAAAATGCCGGTTTTTCTGAGGAGTTAATTATGCATAAGTACAAAGTGAGACTGTTTCAACCTGCACGACACTTTTCACCAGTGCTAATGCAAATTTTGTAAGATAAAATAGTATTATCACGCTTGAGTTTTGACCATTCGGAGTTTCACATTCTTCTGCAGAAACGAGCCAACAATATTATCTAAGACAAATAAAAGTTACGCTTGAATGTTACCTTTCCCGAGTCGCTCAGTCTCAAGTTGATACGTATCAATAATTTTCTCTGGTAAAAGAATAAGAGTTGAGCTTGAATTTTACCTATCCTGAGTCGCTCAGTCTCTAGTTGATACGATCAATAATTTTCTCTGGTAAAAGAATAAGAGTTGAGCTTGAATTTTACCTTTCCTGAGTCGCTCAGTCTCTAGTTGATACGTATCAATAATATTCTCTGGTAAAAGAACAAGAGTTGAGCTTGAATTTTACCTTTCCTGAGTTTCTCAGTCTCTTGCTGATGCACGACGAGCTGCATCTTGACCTCAAGAGCGTCCATCTCCGCCTTGAGATCAGCCTCCAAGGACTGGCGCTTCTCCTTGTAGAGATCGAAGAGCTGCTTCCACTGCTTGCCATACTCGCTCTCGATGCTGTTGGGCTCGGCGAAGCGGGGCCCCACTTTCCTGTCTTTCTTGTACTGTTCGTTCTTGACGAGACCAGATTCAGGGTAGCCTTCTTCCTCGTCCCGGTTCTCCCACGGCTCCACGATCACCGGCCGCAGCTGGCTGGAAATCACAACGGATGCTATGATAGTTGAACCTTTAGATTTTTTTTTTTGCAAAGAAATATGCACATAAGAAACGGTACTTAATGATCGTTATAGGCGTCATACACAAAAGATCCCCATTAAACTTTCATTTCAACTTAGAATAAAAATCATGAAAAAAAAACGATACTTTAAGATCGATTTGGAAATCAACAGCATAACAATAAAATAAAATATAATAAACTAAAATCAATAATTGCTGGAGAAAGATAGAATTCCACTTGTATAGTTGCTGCCACAGGAAAGTGAATTCTGGTTACCAAAAATGATTCAAAACTAATGAATGAAAAGATTCAAGATCATACATGAAAAATTTTTTCAGCTGATTGAAATTTTCATTAGTTTTATTACACTTCAAGATGATTATATTCCAGTACATAGGATTTAGATTTTGTAACGGATGTTGGTACCTTTATAAACATTAATTTGTGACAAAAACTTTATGCTAGAATACTAGTGTCGAATTACACCATGTAAGACAGAAGAACACAATTGAAGTGTTAGTTCAAGCTTAATCGTAAGCAATATCGTTCGATATTCCAGGCTTTAACGTCGACTCAACAAAGCAGCACAAGACACTGAAACAAAGTGCATATACATTACATTTGGAGTCCTAAACACTCATTTTACGTAGACTGATTGACAATTACTTGGTAAGGAAGAAGGATTCCTCCTGGCACTTCTTGTAAGCCATGTTAGCAGACTTCCTCTCTGTGAAGATAACGATGCCATCTCCGGTAGGCTTGCCGCGGTCATCAACGATCACGCGACTCTGCTCCACTGAACCAAAAACGCTGAACGCTTTGTACAGCAGCTCGTTGCTCACATTTATTGTGAGGTTCTTCACGCGAACGCCCGTCTTGATCGCCGCGAAACGCACTTTGATCGAACGGCCGCGTATCTGGGAGCCGTTGTACTCACGCATCGCCTTCTCGGCGTTCACGTGGTAGTCCTGCCGGGTAAAGGTCGTCGGTTAAAAACTTAAATCTTGAAATTAGAGTGCAACTATCGGAAGTAATTTGTTGATAACAAGTGAACACAACATTGCAGGTTACCAGTTGCAGTGAGAATAGGTTAATATTACCATTAAATACTCAATTAATTCTTCCAGAACTGATCATTTGATATACGTCTACACACGTAACATGGAGCCCTTCAAATCAAACTGGGGTGGCCTTCACACTATCACTAGTGAGTCGTTAAAGCCGACTTTTGCGGTAGTTTCTCACAGCATCTTAATTAAGTAGTCCCAACTAGGCTGAATCATGACTAAGCGATTACCGGCGAGTTAGGACGGTACCACAACGCCGAATCCAAACTCACTCTCTTTCTCTTCAAGAACTAGAGAATATATTTATCGGCTTCATAGTTTGTATTATTGCATGAGCTTGCACTAACAAAAAAAAAAAAACAGAACGGTCTGATGACTAAGGTTAGAAATATCAGCCTGAACTATTCAACAATTCAAAATGACATGGGGGTCAACAAACTTACGAAATTAATGGTGTACTTACAAAATTGATGAAGGCGTAAGCACCGTCCTTGTTGAAGTAAACCTGTCCCAGCTCGCCATACTTGCCGAACATTTCTTTGAGCTCTTCAAGCGTGCAGTCGCGGGGCAAACTGCCCACAAAGAGGCAGCTCTGAGCGTTGAACTTCTTCTCCGCCATATCCAGAGGATCCAAGTCATACTGCGGACCGGACAGTTCCTGCAGACGCTCCCAGAACTTTTCCTGTGTTGAACCAACACTATAAGTATTTCCCAGTAATGTTTCAGGCAATGATACAAAAATTTCTCCTTAATAAACTTATTGTACATTAAACTACTTGGAAACGTTGACATTTCCACGGATATAATTAATGGCAAATAAGAATACACGACATTCATATATTACACAGCATTCAGCAATGGGAAGCTTTTACGGCGCAAGCTTTCCAGGCTTTCAAGGCCTGGAAGCTTTCAAGGCTCTCAAGGCGCAAATTTCACCGTACAATGTCATATCAAAATTACAATAAAAAAAATGTTCATTGAACAGTCTCTTATCATATTCCTTACTTAAATTCTATTAATTATTTGCAGTTCATCAGTAATGCTGATGTACTAATAGGCTGCCGCATCAACAGTTGACGTATCAACAATTCATTAATTGTACACTTGACATAGTAGTTGAAATATGAGAATAAGAAATGGACAGAAGACGTATTATATCCCAGCGAAAGACGAAAGTATTATGTATGAAAGTATTATGAAGTATTATTATGCATAAAAAACTCCTGACGAATGTTAGAAAAGTTCAATTCAAGTGATCTAGAAATAGGGTAGTACGGTAGATCACTGCGAGGTAGTACGAGGATCACGGGCATGCGGGAGAGTTTAGCTGTGTAGTCAAGTTACCAGCTAACTGTAACCACGCCGTTGAATTACGATATCGTCCAGTACTTGGTAAAAGGGTTAAAAAAATAGCTCCTTCGACAGAAATTGAAAAATTTTATCAGAAAAAGTATTTTCCTACCTAAACATAAAATAATTTCCAGGACAGGTACCCTAACTTGTAAAAATAAACACTCGTTTGTATAAATAAATAACGTATGTAAAGTTTATTCCAAGAAGCGAATTTCAACTTCAAGAAAATCAATTGAAGAGTAACAAGCCAAGTTTTCCATCAGAGAAGCCCTAATTCTCGGTGTATTCGTCTTCCCGAGTTAAATGATACTTCGTCACCGATTAATCGGTATGCAATAAAACTAAATACCACGCTTCTTCAAAACGAGAAAATCATTTCTGGTACAGCGAGTCAGAGGGAAATGGTCGAACAAGCCCCACAAAATACAGCAAAAATATTTTGAGTTCGAATACGGGCGAAATATTTCATTACACAGGATAGAAATTAAACGAAGGAAATTGACCAATTATTACTCAGAATGAGCTGTCGGCACTCGTCCCGCCAATTCATATCTTATTTCATCAGTCGAGTTGACCAATAATCTGAAACACTGATAAGCCGGAAAAGAATTGGACTACGCCGTGCTGTAGGCTAAGACATCTCGATGAAACTTTTCCTATGAAGTGAAATTTTACAGTCAATTCACCCTGACCCTTTCGCAGGCCATGTCATGACCATACAGCAAAAGGATCATCATCATCATCATTATTATTATAATGGCATCATACGTAGCGCGTTATGAGCAGAGGAGCTTAGTGCTAATAAATAATATCGATACGTGGTAAAGTATTATCGCTAAGTTTGTTAATTGCCTTCTTTTATTCACCTATTTAACGTTATATATAATTAAAAATTTGCTAAAAATTAAAAAATATTTTCTCAATATGGTGAACATTTTTCACGTTTAAATCTAAGTAGGCCTCAAAAATATTTGCAGGTAGAAGCAAGCCATATTTTGCGCTAAAAGATCGATTAAGGTACTAACACGAATTACATCGACCAGCATCATTGTCTTTCAGACTTTATCCACGAAATTGGTTGTCCGTACGTGTAAATATTCATCAGGGTAACAAGAACGAAGTGAACTAATGTCATTTACAACAGTTTACGTTTACGCTTGTCTTGCTAATGCTTAGCACATTTAATGAAGGTTTGATTGCTATAAACTTGACTTTATTTTCTTCAATCATTGAAAACAAATAAATGCTACCTCCAAGTGTATAAATAATTATAGCTCTTTAAACAAGCTGCGGTTAAAAGCTATGCCACTTCAAATTTGCGCAATTAAGTCCCCAATGGATCACGCTTCTGACGTGACAAAAATTCAACTAAAATATTCGGGGTTTAACGAAAAGTCCTAAATTTCTTCAATGACGATGCTAACAAATCGGAGCCTAATCTATCATTTTACGAAATGGCTGCCTATTCAATGTTGAAACTGCAATTGACGCGCCAGAATGAAAGTATGACAGATAATAATTTAATAATGGTGAGAAAGATTAAATTAAGCGAGATGCTGGACGTACGATAAAAAAATAAGTGTGTTCATCAAGCTGCTAGCTATTTAGTGAATTCATTTGCAGCTGAAGCATGGGGCGCGTAATTAAAGCAAGCAATGCACCAAGAAAACCCCAAAGAATAAGTGACTTCGACGAACACTGTAATTAATTATCAACGAATCTTATCCTCCGCACGTTGGAGTACAAGGCAAGCGTTCAACGAAGTATTTCTTCCCTTCTTTATTTTAATTCTCAAAAGCAGGTAAGAAAACCTGAGGGTTTATGGCGGGCAGAGAGAAGTGAGGGGAGCAAAGGGGTGATGGCGGGACGGGCAGAGACAAGTGAGGGGACCTAAGGGGTGATGGCGGGCAGAGACAAGTGAGGGGACCTAAGAGGTGATGGCGGGCAGAGGCAAGTAAAACCTTCTAACGGAATAAGCTCTTCAAAGTAAATGAGGGACCACGACAATATGTGGTTGTATCAGCGAGATGCGGAAAACGAGCTGTAATTTACGATTTTGAACCGTCAATATTAAAGTGAAAAAGTGCTATACGCCTATACCAGCTAAAATCTTGTTTTCATCATTTATCTAAATTTTTCATCAAATATTCGCAAGTCCAGGTGCATTCATCATAACATAATGTCCCATTCCCGAGAAAAAATTTGTGTTAAGCAATGTAATAAGTACAGATCGTAAAAATGAAACGTAAAAATTTCATTTATTATTCTAAATTGTTTAATTTAATAGTTCATTAAACCTAACTTCGACGTTTTGACTCAAACTTCCCGGTACAAACGCACATACAACATACTTGCACTGAAAACCCCGGTTCCAGAATATAAATACATGTAATTATTTGTTCCATGATGCCTATATTTCCCATCATAATAATATTGTGAATAATGGAGCCTTCAGCTTATGTCGTATCCTGCATACTTTGTAACTACATGTGAGGAAATATACACATTTATGATGCAATCAAACCCAAATGTAAGGTCGAACCAATGCATTGATGGCACAATCAAGTAAAGATATCGCTAAAAGCCTACCTACTCATTTTTGACGCAATTAAGTAAAAATATAAGAGAAAACCAACACATTTATAGCGCAATCAAGTAAAGGTATCGCTAAACACCTACTAATTTTTGACGCAATTATGTCCAAATGTAGTAGAAAACCAACATATTTATGGCGCAATCAAGTACAGGTATCGCTAAAAACCTACTAATTTTTGACGCAATTATGTCCAAATATATGAGAAAACCAACACATTTTTGACGCAACCAAGTACAGGTATCGCTAAAAAGCTACCCATTTTAGACGCAATTAAGTTCAAATATAGGAGAAAACCAACACATTTAACGCAATCAAACCGCATTATCGCAGAAATGCTACAAATTTTTCAATTCGCACAAAGCCGATCTTGTTAAGCTTTCTCCACTGATGACGAGGAATAGCAAGTTCTTGCATCGTAACTAACGACTTCAACGACATAAAATTTCATCTAAAGTTTGGGTATTTTAATACTTTTAAGAAAAAAAAAACGAATTTGAAGTATTTGCTATAGAATGAAATAGGGTAGTCGGAAAATTCTTTATGAAATTAGATATCATTCAAAATATTCAGGGCGAGTTCGTGTTATCGAGATCATGTTTCAACGGACACTCAAACATTGAACATACGTTCAAGCATGAGTTATATTATATACATTCAACTGTCGTGGTGTCTTGAATGACATAGGATGAATTGTCGTGCTTGAACAGATGAATTGATAAGTACGTTCATCAAAAGCACCAGCATTAAAATCGCCTGATAACGAAGTCTAGTAATTTCAAACACGAGCTTTACGGTCAGAAGCACAGCACAGTTAGGCACCTAAGAGGTGATGGCGGGCAGAACAAGTGAGGGCACCTAAAGGGTGATGGCGGGCAGAGCAAGTGAGGGCACCTAAAGGGTGATGGCGGGCAGAGCAAGTGAGGGCACCTAAAGGGTGATGGCGGGCAGAGGCAAGTAAAACCGTCTAACGGAATAGGCTCCTCAAAAAAAATGAGGGAACACGACAATAAGCGGTTAGAAGGGCGAGATGTGGAAAAAGAGCTGAAGTTTACGCTTTCATAGCGTCAATAAAAACTTGAAAAAATGCAGCAACGAAAAATTTTTCTTAGCCAAATCTCCCATCAAATATTCGCAATTCGAGACGCATTTATCATAACATTAAGTACCTACAATTCCCGAGAAAAATGTCTTGTTCTGCTATGTAATAAGCACAGATCGTAAACATGAAACGTAAAAAATTCCATTTACCACTAACTTATTTAACCTAATATTTCTTTTACCTAACTTCGACATTTCAACCCCAACTTCCCGATTCAAATGCACATACAACATACATGCACGGAAAACCCCGGTTCCAGATTACAAATACATGTAATTAGTTGTTCCATTCTTGCCTATATTTTTCCATCATAATAATATCGTGAACAATGGAGCCTTCAGCTTATGTTGTATCCTGCATACTTTGTAACTTTACATATGAGAAAATATACACATTTTTGATGCAATCGAACCCAAATATAAGGTTGAACCTATGCATTGATGGCGCAATCAAGTAAAGGTATCGCCTAAAGCCTATCCATTTTTGACGCAATCAAGTTCAAATATATGAGAAAACAAACACATTTTTGACGCAATCAAGTTCAAATACAAGAGAAAACCCAACACATTTTTAACGCAATCAAACGGCAATATCACAGAAATTATAAACATTTTCCAATTCGCACTCAGCCCAT